ATGGAATAATACATCACTACAGTTCCACCAAACCAGTCTGAACTAGTAGGAACCCACCACTGCACCTTACCACTTAGAAAAATCTTGCTAAGAACACTGCAGGCATTACGGTAGTTCAAGGAGTCACTAGAAATCAGCACTGCCTTACAGGGATAGCTCCCCACAAAATTATAAAGAGGTCTTCTGTATTGATGTATTATTCCATGGGTCCAATTTTATAACAAAATGCAAGCTATCTTTTGGGACTGACATTTTAGGTTGAGTCTCTGAATTGGTGGGTGACACAGGACAAGTGTGGAGGACAAGTGTGTCATCCTATACTTTGGAACATCTTGCAGCTGGAGGTGAGATCCAACCCCATCCTTTTGGACTTCCAGAAGGGCCTTAAAACTTGGCTCTGCTGGTTGGCTTAGGATCACTCTACAATGGAGGTAGTTGGTGGCGTAATAGTGAAGATCCCACCTCTTTCCCACTTAGGCTCTTGGGTCTTGTTTTTTAATCTAATTCTTGTTCATTTTAATGTTTTTTATGTCTATGGTTTTATGTGTTGCAAGCCACTCACAGTCACTTTGCATAGTCAGATGAATGGCATATAAAAGTTTTTATTATTTATTCAAATCCCGGAGACTCTGAACAAAGATGATATGATCTTGGGATACATACTCTACATGTACCGTGAAGTGAAGATGTAATTTAAAGTGAATGAAAACATGAACATGTATCTTCTTAGGTACCGGCACAAGATGGGTTCAGAGGTTCGTCTGGAGAGGCCAAGGCAGAGACCATGAACTGGTGATCTAACCGGAGCTCTTCCCACCAGGCTGGTTTTGCTTCCAGATGCACCTGGGGGCGTCCAGCTGGGTTTCTTCGGCACCGAAGGGCTTGAGGTCTTCAAAGGCTTCCCAACGGATTCCGAAGAATCTAATTCAATCTCCAAAGGTGGCTGAGAGTTTTCCTGATTGGCAGATACGTTTTCATCATTGTCCGTTTCTGATGTGCATAATACAGCTTCCTGTTTGAAATCCTCTACAGCTGCCTTAGGTTCAGCATGGTCATCTTTCTTTTGAATTTTATCTTTGTTTCCCAAATATTCATTCAATGACAGGGCTAAGGTAACTTCCAAATCTCTCTGGCAAAGTTTCTCACCAAGGGGAACTCTCTTCCCGGTGGGGCGAGCCTTCTTGGGCGGCGCGGCGAAGTCCTCATCCTCATTGCTCTCCTGGAACGGGTCCGCCCTCCCGCTCCGGCTGCTCTGGCCACTCTTTTGCGCCATAGCCACCGCTGCCAGAAACGGAAGTGCGGGGGCGGACCATGTTAATATTTTTTAACATAGTGTAAAAACCAATGTGTATTGTTGGTCTTCGACCGTAATAAAGATTTTACTTACTGAACATGTATCTCAGAAAGTATGAATCTGTGTCATTTAGATTATTATAGATGTGTACAAAATTAGGAAATCATAGACTAGTTATATTATACTCCAAATTATTATGGAAGAACCATGGTGAGTTTGGGGGGAAAGGAATACTTTCTCAATNTATTGATGCAATTAGCTTGTAGTCTGAGTTTAATAAAGAGATTGGTCTATAATTCTTGATTTGTGTTAAATCAGTCTCTTCCTTGGGTTAATGTATAGTCTTGTGGCAAACTCACTGTGTCACGGCGGCATCATGTGAAGTATCGTGGCTTTTTTCCCTTTACCAAACTGGGCATAGGCAAGGCCAACAAGTTGGGCTGTGAGTTTGACAGCCCTAGTCTTGACCCTTTGCTCCTGATAACCTTTGCTACAATTTGATGAAAAGGACATTATTCTATGGGAAAAATAATACTGTATTATGTTGATGAATTTACATATCAGGTTTTATAGAAGTCAGCCAGTCAGTTTGAACATGGAAGATAAGGGAAAGTTGATAGCTAAACCAGAATTGAATTTTACAAGATCCAATTCTATCATTTCCAATTGGAAATAGAGGAAACGTTTCACTTATCAAGTGACTGAAGGACATGCTGTGAAAAGCTTTGCTGTCTGTATCTAGATTTACCTTTTTTGCCTTAAGAATCTCAAGAAGATTAGTTTTATGACATCCTTTTCCTAAAACTTTAATAAAATTGCAATAGAAAACCAGCAGAAGTTCATTAATCAGTTTGTCAAATTTGAATCAAAGCTGGTAATCAAAGTAAGATTTCAACTTAAAAATGCTGTTTTTTAATTTTCTAATTTACTGTCATGATTGCTGTAACTTCAATATTTTTCTAGAAGCTGAGTAGTATTTAAGTCTTCTCCTTGCTATCTTTTATCTTTCCACCAATAATACTAAATACTAAGTTGACCTAATTTTAAAGTTGAGTGTGAATGGTAATTCGGAGTTCTGGGGCTTAGGCTGAATTCTCTTTGCCAAACCAATTCAAAACTGAAAATGAGACTGTTATATCAAATAGCTTTCTATTTGGGATTTGGGCATTCTTGGCAATTTGTTTGGCATTTATTTTTATTTATTTTTTGTTCTAGGAAGCAATTGGTTTTCACGTTAGTGCCCCAATGTTAAATGTGAAACTGCTTTGAATAAAGAAAATTATAAATAAATCACAGTTCGGCCTATGGTCACTCACAGGCTATTGCAGCATGCAGATCTTATAAGCCCCTTGTGCTTTCTATCTGGGCTTTCCAGATAAGTGCAGCTGGAGCAGACAAGACACACATCCCTGGTTAATAGCTGGATAATAATTAGGGACACACAAAAATCACTGAGGCAATGGGGTGTTTGGGATACACAGAGATCCAGTGAATTTAAAGACACAGCAAAACTATATTGATTACAATATACACTAGTTTTTTCACACATGTACACACACATCCACATCCTTCTCAATTAGTTGCCAGATACGAGTAGCTAAAGGGATGGAATCCACCAAGACTGGGTCCCAAGAGGATTCAAGGAATGGGTGGGCTTCAGTACCCTTTTCTATTCTCCTAAGTTCGTGCTTTAGTGATTTACAAGACTTGCAATTATTCTTACCTTGTTAATTTACAAATCTGGTAGCTGTTGAAGGGGGTGGGTGGGGTGGGGGAGAGTATTTCCAGACTCAACTTCCTTTTTCTGGTTCAGGTGATTTCCCCCTTTTGTTTCCTTATTAACTTATTTCTTTCTTATCTACTTCCAAGAAAGGATCTTGAAACAAATTCCTTTTTTTAATCCTCTTTGCTTGCATGTCTGTTTTATCTTTAGTTATGACATCTTCAGCTAGTGACACTACCCCAACTGCAGTCTCTGCTGACCAATCCAATGGTCCTTGTTCTGGTACTACTATTAAAACAACAAGCTTGCCTAAGCTCCTATGCATTATGTCACACGTATGTCCAGGCAGCAAAGCAAAGCTCATCTATGTAAATGGAAGTCAGACCAGGCTGAACTGTGGAAGCCATTTTGTTTGCCTGTTGTATTTGTCCTATATTTGCATTTCCTTTGAGTGCCCTTTTATTGGATTGCTTGATCTCTCTAGCACCAAAATGCAATTATCGAAGTTCCTTTCTCTCCCCTCCAAACAGCTTTTGCCCTCTGGTAAATATCACATTGTGCCCCAATGTTGGCAGGTAATACGAATAACAATAAAGTGTAGTCAGTATTTTAGCGGAGGGGGAAAATTTAGATTACTTTTTCCAGTGGGGGCTCCCTCATTGGAGCAGGGCAGAGTACATATGGATATGAGATACAGACAGAGAGCAAGCAATAGGAACTGCTCTGCTGATACCTTGCCTTGACAGCTAATTTCCATTTTTCAGTATCAGGGGGTCTGTTCCAGTAATTGGCATGCAGATTGTGTCTGATGGGCCTGTTAGACAGAAGAAAAGAATCTGCTAGTTAGAATAAGCCAACCCCAGGCTGATGGATGGGGCATAAGGAGGTCATTGCAGAAGAGAATATATATGTAGGTATATGTACAGACACTCTGCCGAGGAGGTGTATAAAAATTCACACTCTATGCTCTCTCCTTCGCCCTGTCTCCATTTATCCTGCAAAGTCTAATTTATCATGTTCCATTGAGACAAACCCAGCTGCCTTCCTCTTTCCTTTTTTGTACCTTTAAGGCATATTTGATAGAAGCTATTCTTGGTTTCAATAACAAGACAGTGGGGCAAAAAAGAAATTAAAATGGTGCCATGGTGCATTACCAGCTCAAGATTTTCCAGAATTGGTCCACTTGTTAATTACACGGGCAGAATTAATTTATTTTCTCCATCACTCTTAATCCACTGGGCAGGCAGGAAGCTGTAACAGAATCTTGGCATTTGTATTTATTTCTTTTGTCTAAATCATTGTTTAAAATGTTTTTTAAAACTTTGAATCTCTTCCACTACTCAAATTCATTGAGCTTGAGAAAGTTAGACTGAAGGCTGACATGAGTTTTGTGAATGTTTACAGGAAGGACTGTGGAATGGTTATCACCAATATTATTTTTTTCCCAATCTGTCACTGCCTCTGGCCAAAACAGCCTTCCAAGTTCCAGTAACACTGCGATCTATACACAGGAAAGAAGCAATTAGCAAGATAGCACTTTATGGAATTTAAGTTTCATGGTAAAGTAGCAGGCATTAGTAGGCTGCATAGTAGGCTGCATAAACAGAGGGATAGAATCAAGATCACATGAAGTGTTAATACCACTTTATAATGCCTTGGTAANCTGGCATGTCATGTAAAGGACAAATGGAAAACTCAAATTGAAAAACGCTGTCTGCCACTGTTTTACACCATGACTTTCAGTTGATTTGAAACTGGTCTAGCAACACAAGATAGATCATGTAATATGTATAAAGTGTCTGGGCTGGATTAGAAATATCAACTATACTCTCAGCCACAGATGAGTGATGAAAGTCTTCTGAATTTTTCTATTTTATCAGCAGTCAGCAAAAATGACAGTACCATTTCCCCACATGTATTTCATATGAAAAGAGAAAATCTTCAACAGCAGCAGTAACATAACTGTTTTCTTTTTGACCCTGTTGGGAGTCTGCCTTCCATTTTGCAAGCCAAAAATCTAATATGGGGGACAAGGATGCTAGATGCAACTGTCTCAAGAATGAAAAAAAAAAAGGATTCAAAAGTATTCAGTTTATATTTTACAAAAGATTCCCTATTTCAAGGACAAGGTGAAGAAGTTGGAAATTGCATCATTTCTTTGCACCTATGAGCTGTTTTGATCACTTGGGCAAATGGTGAGAGATAAGGAGAAGGATCATCAGTGATGTTCTTGTATCTGTTTGTCATCTATTTTTAGTTAAATCTATCTCTTAAACACAGAGACAGAAATGAATTTGTTATCTTTCTCTCTTTTATCCTACTCTCGCTTCAAGATATATTTGAACAATCTTCATATGTTTCTTAATCTAATTTTTACTTCAGATATAATGAATTCACTGACAGCTGGTTAAGTTCATATTCTTCATCAAATAAAAATGTATTATGAGTACTTTTAATGGAATATTCTGCTGCTTAATTACTCACCGTTCTTTCAGAAATCTGCTTATGTTCAGAAGCATATCCTCTAATAAGGCTGCTGAATTCAAATCTCTAAAAAATGAAAAGTTCTGAAAAATGTGACTCCTATGACCTGCTTCATACTACTGAAGAATCAAGCTGAGAAAATTTTGGTTTGTTAGAGCTTCATGAAGTATTTGACTATGTATGGCCTGAAAGAGATAATAACCAGATAGTATAGCACACCTCATGTTTTGTAGAAGAGAGGTAGTGCTGGAAATTAAGCATGTCATCAGCTTAGAGTCATTATACTGCCACACATGGTCCAAGCCCAACTCTTCTTCAATTCTGTTGACCCTTATCTGGAGCTAATTTAGTATTGAACTTCAGTTGACTAGATTCCTGTGTACAGGCTTGAACATTAAATCTTTGAACTGCAACTTAATGTATAGTCTTTTTTTCTTTTTTTTTTTAATAATTATTTTTATTTTTTTGTTACATAGACAACAATGGGAAAGGGAGAGGATGGAGAGAGAAAAAAAAGGGGGGGGAGGGAAAACCCATCTTCACATACAATATGTCGTTTAATCACAGGTGCATCCCTACTAAGTTTATACATATATTTAATAAGCACCACAATAAGCTAGGGTTTAAAAAACAAAAAACAACAAAGTAGAACAAGGGAGAGAGGAAGAAGAAGAAAGAAAAAAAAAAGGGGGGGGAGGGAAAACCCATCTTCACATACAATATGTCGTTTAATCACAGGTGCATCCCTACTAAGTTTATACATATATTTAAT